TATATATATGAAGTCATTACCTGCAGTTGAGTGCGCGCAATCTAGAGCGAAGTGTACCGGCTGCTGGACGTATTTCTAGAAGTACATGAAAGCATATTGCAATGAAAATTCGAGAATGCTTCCCGGAAGGTACTCCTTGCAAGGACAGACAACCACATCGAAAAAGAAAGATTGCAGCTTTGACTCAAAGTGTTGTAACTTGTTGAAGTCAGTTCCCCCAAGGGATCGACCTGTTCTCGGAAAGCTTATTTTCAGGGGTTTCTCTACATGAGTATAGTATCATGAATTTTTCCAACTCATCATAAAAACTTTCGATAGTGTATTGTCGGCGCGGAAGCCAAACTGAATACCAAATGCAACCTTATTATGGTATGGATTTTGTGTTCTCTCCTTAACTCTAGTCTGCAAGTCAGTACCAGCCTGTTTCTCACCTCTCTACCACCAGGCTTACCAAAGGGTGTCATGTACACTCACCGTACCTTCCTCAAGGCGGTATCAGTCACCGCACGGCTATATGAGTTTGCAGTAAGTGTTTCGTTAGCGGCTTATGTTGTTTCCCTTTTTCGACGATGCTGCTCCTTCAGGTGGAATTCGAAAACGTTTCAACTTGGGATTATCCAAGTGATTCGACGATATTCTATGTAGCTTTAATTTCTGATTTATCACATATGATAGTAGATGTGTACGGGAACATTATTGATCGAAGTAAATTGAGTCATGTCAAAACAACTGTGTAATGCAGCGACAACTGGCGGGCCCTGTTGCGAGAGTTGACTCCAAATGTCTTAGATATTGGTATTAGTATTGTAACCGCTTGTTTTTGGAATGCCATGTATTTTACACGACAGCTGCCTTGATGTTTACCTTTTTTAAAAGTGCTGAGCTGGGAACAGGGTTGACGCGGTTATCGTAGTCCAATCTTGGAAGCTTTCTTCATAAATTCGATCACAGAAAGGTGACGAAGCTGCGAAATGTGGTAGATGCTGAACAAAAACTGTATGAGGGGGGTAAGTTAGTGCACAACATCAATGAGAGGCGCCACACCTAGGTCTTAGCTGTCAGGAAATGGTATTGTGGTGCCTCAAGAATGTGGGACCTGTTAGAATCTGTATGTTGCTTGCATATTCCCATGTATCTAAAAGAAAGCTCAGCTCAGCTTACCTAGTCAAATCATGCAGAAACGCGCAAGGCAGAAAAAAGGTGGAAATGAGAGTTTTCTTCCAAGTCGAATCAATCCAGGTCAATGAGAACCCAATGCATCCACAAGGTTTGACAAAGTACACAAACGTCCGTCAAAAGCACTTGCGAATGATGGTCAGAGTTCCTCGAGAGAAGCAACCTCCCAAAATTCAAGTTAGAAAGCAGAAGACACTATCTCCGCGGCATTCTATCCCGCCATTCACTCGAATATGTTTGAAAATGTTCTGCTTTATCCACTGAAAGCAGATGTCTGGTATGAAAAAGGTTTTCAGTGAGTACCGCTTTATTGGTGGACTTAAAAAAGATGAGAAAAAGCGTGGCTGACACATGCTAAAAAGGTACGTTAGTTTGCACGTGAAATGGATTACGAAACTTTATGGGGCATTTTGAAATGCCAATCAACCAAGAACAATCCATTTAATCGAGTGGAAAAAAACAAGACCATAAAATGGGTAGGAAAGGTCTCAATCACAACGGCGGAACAAACCTGTCGGGTCGAAGGCAACCGATGAACCAGTCAGATAAAGGAAAGGAGACCGCAACGCAACCCAAATACCCAGATGTACAGCTAAAGCTGCGTTGCGAGCAACCACTCCCTTTAGAGCTAGTAGTATATAAGCACAGGCAGAAGAGAAATTTATTCACTCAGCCCGCACTGATGATAGGGTCGAAGGCAACCGATGAACCAGTCAGATAAAGGAAAGGAGACCGCAACGCAACCCAAATACCCAGATGTACAGCTAAAGCTGCGTTGCGAGCAACCACTCCCTTTAGAGCTAGTAGTATATAAGCACAGGCAGAAGAGAAATTTATTCACTCAGCCCGCACTGACGATATCATCTCGATTGGTGGTGAAGCGTTTGCACTCCAGCTACGACAAACCAACTAATCAGCGCATCCAAGCTACCTATATTGTGCAACATTGCCAACGTCTAACAGCGTTTGAATAGTGGTAAAATGTCGCTTACTATTTAAAAAGAAACTAAGGTGTGGAAATTCATTTGTTTGAATAGATTTTTCTCCCCTGTGAACGAAGCATAGAGAGGCCGACCAGAAATGACTTTTGCTGGAAGCTCATTTGACTAGAGAAAATCATATCATTAAACAGAACTCTCCAATTTGTTCCCTGTAATAGAAAATTATCCGTAAATTTACTGCCTGTCACTGACCTGCAACCCCCATCATTGTAGTGTGTGTGTGTGTATGTTGAACCGATGGGCAGGTAATCGAACTTACTGAAGGGGAATTTCCGCCATGATCCACTCCCTTTACGGAGCTACATGATACAACCGCTGATGGTCATTTCCTTTATAACTGTGGCGGCACAGAGTGTCCGGAAACAAGCCTAGCCGAACTTGTAGCCACAAGTACGCACTACCGAAGCTTATTTATGAGACTATCGCAATGGTCACGTTTACATGAATTATGTACACATTTGTGCACACACTGGTGCTCAGTTCGGTCAGGGGAGCAGATACCTTATGCTAGACTGACCGCTAGTTCAACGGGACTGGGAAGTTTGTAAGTGTCTAGTTGACTCAGTAGGTGGGGATTTTCTTCATGAGGCAATGCTTAATAATCGGGAACCAGGAGAATGACCTTTTAGTACATCGAAGCAGGTTAGATAAGGTCAAGCGATACACAGCAGCCGAGTGCATCTAACCACTGGGACCCAAGATTGTAAAAACACAACTAGATGTTCACATTGGGAATGGGAATAAGGGGTTATTTGGATCTCTTCACCACTTGACAGCTTAAAGTGACTAAACGGAACTGATTCGGTGCTATGGAAATTATGGTATTTGGTGATAAATTTGATGACCATGTTGGGTTTTTGAAAATCATTTAGAATCAGCAGATGAAAGATCCTTACAGAATATTTCCATCCAGATTTTCCCCTATGACCCGATTTACCAAATAATACTTGACATGTTTTTTCAACCCGAGGAAGAATGCAGGCTTTTTACAACTGATTGATGTACGAAAGTGGTCCACTTCTACCACATAAATTGGCTTCTACCTAAGATATTTTTGTCCAGCTATCGAACGGCATTGTTTTTGGAAAGAAAGCACATGGCCAACCTTAGACGGATTTAGTCTTTCATTGGAGGGTCTCTTGATTTAGTCACGCGTCTCTGGCATATGCTAAAGCCGAAATCAATCATTCCCAAGAAATACATGACGAAGCCAACAGCGTTTTGAAATAATCTACTCAGTTGATCAACAATCATTTGATGGTGTCATTGTGGCGTAGTAATGAGAACAGGGGCAATGTTCTGTTTGACATGAAAAACGGCACAATTGTCTGTTTGCATTAGAACAGTGCATATCTGTTTCAGTCTAGCAGTGATATGGCCTGGAGGTGTTCTTGGGACTTGTTTGTTACTGACTGTGAAACCAGAAGGCCGTTTGAGTGCCCAGGTTAGGATGTGTTTTTTCCGTATAGGAAAGTGGTGACGGCTATTAGGCTACTATATATCCCATTTCAGTGTAGGAAAAGGTATGGGAAGTTTCCAATAACATCTCGATGAATTTTTGGTCACACGGAACCAATCACAGCGCAGGACGTCAAGCCTGTTTCTCCTTAAACGTTAAACTGTGGTTCTCCCTACTCATTCAATCGGTCGATTGTTGCGCTCTCTAGTTATTCCACGTCAGTTCACTTTGCCTTTTCACAGTTTTGCTAAATCCGTTTGTTCAGTCCTATTCCTTCTGTTGCTTGTTCAATAAAAACAGCAAACAGTCTCATGCTTTTGGATCGTTCTTGTCACTGTTACTGTATTGAACGTTGGAAAGAACATTGACTTCACGGAGGAAACTTTTTTTCACGCAACAAGTCGACAGACAATTACTATCGTGCTGTGACCATCTAATTTATGCACTAAAAATGGAGTAAAATATGAATCTCCTTGAACTTGCAAGTTGTACGGCCATGAGTAATTTCATAGCTGAACTGAGTGAAATTTGAAACATTAATAGCCAATGTCACGGGAGAAAACATTTGTATTCCAGTAGGTATATTGTCTGTGGGCAAATACTGAAGTAGTTGAACTTATGTAGGGCATGTATTCATGAGACTCTATGTTAAAATAGGAGGTATGTTATATGATTTGTAAATCCGTCTTATCTGTCGCTCCCATCGTGAAGATCCTTTGCAAATGGGGTACTTAAACGGCCTTGGAGATTAATTAAGTGTGGTATATCTATTTCCAAAAGGACTTGAAAAATCAGACTTTGTAACGCGAAACCACAGTTTTGTTAAAAACAGTTCTAAAATTTATTGTTAGAGCCATGGTCTAGGACCTAAGTTCAACCACTATGAAGTCAAAGGCTGAGCACAAGCACTATTGAGTAAAGTGACCACTGTCATGCCATTTTTCGGCACCTATAAGGCGCAAAGTCATACTTTAAAAGGTGCAGCCTCCACCATGCTCCTCGCATTTTAACGAGAAGCACTGAAGGTTGTGGGGAATCTTACAGAACTTGGTGTTTGTGTTGGCCTGGACGGCAATATATCTGATGATTTCAGTGCCCGAATCTCAAAGGCATGGAAAACATTTGTCAATTTAAGTCTCTTGTGGGCATCAAAACGGCACGTGTACGAGGCTACAGCAAGCGCTGGGTTGTTGATTTGTTGCAAGACAAGGTCTCTGTGGACAGATGATGTGAGGTGTCTTCGGATTTTTCAGCACTGATCCTTCAGAAGAGTTGTTGGTGTTTGCACGGCGTCAAAGAGTTTGTAACGAAGCAATAAGAAAATGCGTAGTTGATTGTGCAGCAGGTACTCCAGTCACAAAACACACCCCGCACCATCAACTAAGGCGGTTCGACCGTGTGCTACGTAGGCTGAATCGTCGTCTACTGAGGGTGGTTTTGTCCTCCTTGCCACCACTCAGAAAAGCAGAAATTGCCAACTGAACTGAGTCTGACCAGGTAAAAGGCACGAGGTAGATTACGATGAGTTTGGGTGTTTTGGTGAGGCCTACCTTCCTGGATGGTAGGAAGGTATCACAATTGGCCGGAAACACTGCAAGAAATGGCGGTTAATCGAGGCTAGTGGCTTTAGTGCTATCAGCTTTATTCTAGATTGTCGGATTGGGCACTTGGGGGCGTATGTACCTCAGAATGCTTGCTGTGGCCTAGCACCACATCCCACCTTAATCCACTGTTTTCTTTTTTTTTTCGCCATCACTTTAAGTACTAGTAAATGGTTGTACATCAGTGTCAACACTGGTGTGGCAGTTCTCTGAGGGTGCTGACTTTATGGGTTGGTTGAATGCAGTACAGAGTCGAAAATTAGGTGAAACGGTTGACAGTTATAAGAATATCTCAATTATTTAGGATCGTTACCCATAAGTGAACCTTGAAGATGGTCAGATTCCACCTACTTCTTCTTCTTTTAGTATGACTGTGTTAATTTCTGCAAAATACTTCTTCCAATGTAAGTTCTTAGGCCGGAATCAAAACGAATCGCTGCTCAATGCATAGAAGAATCTATTTGGTGAAGGCCTGAAACAAGACTACTTAAAAAATGCTTAGAATCGTATATGCCTAAGGGGCGTTTCATACTATGCAAATCAGAAGTACCTTATACAGTTTACCTATTGTTACTCTGTGTTTTACAGGAGATCAGCGTCGTCGGAAACGTCCATGTGTCTTTCTTGCCTTTGGCACATATCTTTGAACAACTGGCGATGGTAAGTGATAGAGCAGTGTGAAATTTCTTAGAGCCAAAGGCTGAACGACCTGATCCACAAGCATCTAGCTATGCCTTTCTTGTGAATCTCACTGGAAATTAGGATTGACTTTCTGGGTTGGCTGGTGCGTTCCAAGTTTCACTGCAATCTCCAATGTTGTGTGGCTTAGGCGTGACACCAGCTTCTCCGTCAGGGCTCGAGGTTACGATGCTGCGGTACGATCCTTGTTACTATACAGATCAGAAACCTGACCGCTGCGCGCCGAGGACTTTAAAAGACTTTCAGTGTTTGACCATCGATGTCTTCGGAGCATTGCCCGAGTCTGGTGGGAACACCGGATAATCAATACTGAAGTACGTCGAATAGTATTCGAGAGAAATAACTCACCCTCGATAGATGAACTGATCACACTGAATAGGTTGCACTGGCTTGGCCACGTGCTGCGTATGCCAGTCGACCGACTTCCTCGAAGGACTTCTTTCGCACAACCACGTGGAGTGTGGAAGAGAGCCAGAGGCGGTCAAACAATGACTTGGCAGCGAGGCATCAAAGGTATTACCAGCCATCTCCGCTGCGCTGGCCACTGCCGTCTTCCTGGACGGGGACCGCGAAACGGACCACATCAATGGTTAGGGACACTGTCAGACATGTCCCAGTCCGGCCCTTAGTGGAGTTCATGCATCCAAGTTATTGTCTTCAATGCATTGCTCCCTGCCCTATTCCCCCACTTAACAGTCCACTGACAGTACTGTATTGACGCACAAGTTCATCCGCTCCCACATCCAATACGCAGCTATCTACCACAGCATCCCAAATCATCGGTGAATGGAACTGTAGCAGACACAACCACTGCACGACAAATATGCGGTTCTTACAGCTGACAATGACTATGATACGCAGTGCATAAAATACGGGTGCATCTTCTAACTAAAGTTAAGTAAATAAGTTGATGGTGAGCTTCCAAGAGATGAATACGGGCCTCAAAACTAATGCATCTATCAGATGCATCAGATGCGTCTATCAGAACACCGTATATATCCATGATAACGCTCCAAGTCAGGGAAGCCTTTGTGTGTACCAAAGCCCGAATGGCAGACTGTGGAGATTAGGAGTAAGCGAAAACCTACAACAGTCGTGAAACTACGGTAGGTTTAGCAGGCACGAGCAAAAATGAATCAGTGAACACGTGAGTTAATCAGAAGTTCATGGTGACCACAGGGCCAGATCTTAAAGCTCATTGACGGGAAAAGATCACACGACACACGGTGTTGAATGAATGCTCGACCTGGACACAACAAAATATTCATTATTCGAATACTTGGTTATATCAGGAAAAATTTAAAAGGCCTTGTGACAACGACCACAACAAATCGGAACATATATATCCGTCATATATATGAACCCTTTCTCATGTTGGTCGATGGCAATAAGTCAAGCGGGTATCCTCAGCCAGTTTTTTCTAGGTGAAGTAAGAATGAAGTTGATTGGGGTTCTGCTAATAAGCAAATACTCAGTGCCCAGCTGAATTTACCTATTCACCAAAGCAAATATTTACGGAGTTTCCAGTAGTAGCTAGACGACTGGTGCAACGCAAGAGTTACCAATCTGTCAGTGGCATTCATTCTAATCATTTTCCCGGCCCAAACTTAAAATGGCTCTGCACAGAATTTAAGGCGCTATAAGTCGCCGTCCAGTTCACGCTGTCTTAGGCTTGGAAACTTTCCATTCAAGCAGCTGTTCTCATCCTCCCATATAAATTGGAAATCTTTGCACATGCAACACCGTAGTTTAAACAGTCCCCACGATATTCTGACCAACACGATTTTGATGAGTTCCGAAATTAAGTCTTGCTTCTGCTCTGGTCCATTAGCAGATGCTCTGAGTGAAATTATTAGCGCTTTCGAAAACCGTGATTTCACTAGATTCAGTCGGAGTTATAGCTTTTCATACCTACCTGGGTACTACTTGGGTGATCCGCTTCCCGTTTGTTAACGTGCCTTACCGAAACTCTTTGTTTTCCCTGAATGTTTGATGCTTGCAACCGTAAACTCAGTATCCGGATCAGAATCTCCATTACTTGTTCATGGTACTAGACTGTTCTTACTTTTCTCTTTTCTTGCTTTGTCCAGGCGGCATGCTTGTTGTATGGAAGTCAGATCGCATTTCTTACTACGGACTTTACCCGACTACTCGACGACTATGCACATTATCGTCCAACAGTGCTTGCTTTGGTCCCACGTGTCCTTTCTCGAATGTATGCAGTCGTAATGGAAAAAGTTAATGCAAGTAAAATGAAAGCGCGTCTTTTCGAGAGGGCTATGAAGTCGAAGCTTGAAGAACAGAAAAGGTTGGTTGTCACTAACCGATGGTTCTTTACCGCTGAAAGGTTACGCGCTTTCGGGCGACGTCCAGAAGTTCATATGAAGGAGGCGGCAAAGCTTGTGTGGTATAAAAGATCTAGCGTGATTTATTTTATTGCAGGTTGTTTAAGCCCCCATTATATGAACCACCTAGCTCGATGCAAAATTGGATTTTGAGGGCCGGAAATAACTCCTGTGGGATAATCCTATCCAGAACTACTACTGAGTTACTTATCGTATATGGGAACATGGACACACACCATCTATTCTTCAGCTATTGGGTATGGAGATTCGTAGAGTTATTATGGAAAGGTTGCTAAAGCGTGCCACCAAGACTGTTGATTGATTTGGTGCTAATCGTACTTTTCAGACTGCCTGACATATACGCAAAATCTGCTCGTCAAGAGAAAAGCCCATTTCGGATTTATCATACAGAAAACTCGATTTTACCATCACGCAGGTACGCGCTAGTCGGTCGAATCGCTGTAGTCGAGAATCAACGTAAAAGCTAAACGAGGTTTAGTCGGAATAGACCTAGTGCCTGTATAGACTGGTTTAGTCTCGTTCGTGCAATAAAATATGCACAAAAATTTATGCACCGAGATTTTGACGCACCCTGAAAGTAAAGTGATGGCGATACAGCAGTAGAAAAGCCAAGCAGAAGATTTGGTCTCCTCAAGAACCCAATACTCATTGTGTACTAACCCTTGCCTAAAGAGAGTAGAACACGAACATTTCTGTGGTAAGGATTGGAAAATCTTCGCAGAGCACAACAAGAAATCGGTGGATGATCATGTGACCAATGAGTTTGGCACTGTCTTGCAAATGGTTTGTCACCAGTTGAGGTTACATCATTGGTGAGCAGTTGCGAGCATTTGCCTTGCAGTTCAATCCTCACACGAGAACTCTATTGAATGCGTCTATAAGGGGTGTTTTATCTAGAAGTTCTGTCGGCGGCGTATACGAGGTGCCTGTAATCGTGTAAAGTTGCATTGTTTGGCGGAATGTGCATTACCTGGACACAGCTTGTACTCAGTGCCTGCGTCAGCGGTAGGGCTGTTCAGCCCCCACGACATTTGTAACTGAATGTGATATGTGTACACCTTTGGAATATTGCCTCAGGTGGTGAGCGATGCACTTCGTGCACAGGTCCGGCGTCGCAGTTAGAGGTATTACCAGTGTAACTGTCCGTTTGCACACCATTTGGAATGAACGATAGATGTGAGTGAAAACCGAAGTTACTTGAAATGATGTTGGAACTGGTAGGTTGACAACGCCAACCTTAGTTACACTCAATATATACTGCTAATAGTACGTATATGTCATCGTAATGGGTCCAGTCAGTCAACTGAGTTATGTTTCATCTTAATCTTACATTGTCTGATGCAGGTTCAACCCTGTCTAATATGTGCTTTGTTTTACAACTAGGTTTTATACGTGCGTCGAGAATTCGACGAAAAAAGGAGAATCAGATACAGGCTTTCATGCGTTTTATCGCATTCTTTTGGTGCTAAGTGATCAGTATGACAGTATCAATGACAATGAAAAGGTTGGAGAAGATTCGGTCACTGGTGACGAGGTGAACCAGTCTAACCAGCAATAGAGTAGTAGCACTCGGTTTCATTCACCACATGTTGGCATTTAGTTCTTCTAGACGAATCAAATGAAATCGAATTAGAGTAATCCGCATTTGTTTGACCTCTTCAAAAAATGTGGGAATAGTGAAGCGAAGGGATCTGGATTCATCGGTAACTGGATTTTGGACCATAAAGGCCGGAACTTTCTTCTAGAAGACTAGAAGCGAGCATTCAGTTGGTCACAAGATAATTCCACCGAAGCATATCACTGCGTCTGCTGATGAATTAATTTCCAGTTGAATATCAAGCTGGATTTATATAAAAAATGTTTTTATTTATTTCTAACACTCAGAGCGAGCACAGGAAAGCCTCTTTATTATGGGTAATGTCCAGCGTGGAATGTGACCTGACCCTTGCAGCTGACATGTTTAGCAGCGTCCTCTAATACCACAGGTTTAACACTAAGATTCTATTTGATTCATTGCTTACAGGGGAATCTTCAAACAATGTGGTATTTTGGATTCTCTCTGCTTTCGACCGATTCGCAACCGAGTTGGTGGTCGAGTGAGAGTTATTGTTTGCGCCAGTGCCCCATTACAGCCTGAAGTGTTTCAGTTTACAAAATCTGCGTTTTCTTGTCCAGTAAGCCATAAAAACCATTTAGATTTTGATATACCTTTCGCTTTTGCATGTGAACGATCTAACTACATATTTTACTTCTTTGATTAATTTATTTTTGCCTATTTCATTCGAAGTTGCCCTCCACTTGTCTCCAGTTGTTCTAACCTCGGATATCACCAAACGGGTGCACGCCACACAGATGTAGTGTATGGGCACCTTCCCCAAAATATCCAGGTACAATACAAATTAGTGTCACAACAATTTCAGGTCTTGTGGAGGGATGAAAGAATGCCGGCATCTGAGCCCGTTTTTGACCCAACTCCTCCCAGACGGTAAATTTCACTACTGTAAGCTCTCCTTTTTTTAATGCCCTGAGGCCCATTTGGCAGTTGTGCTGGAACACTGATAGCTACAGCTTCGAACGTTTCCGTTTCAAAGTACTCTGGCTACACGCGAGTGTTGTGAAGCCACAAATCACCTGACTCAGAGTGTAACATCAGGCAGCCACTGTTTTGTCGTTGGTTATCTGTGTATGTTCAGGGTTAATTACGCAATGGAACGATAACAACAACAACAACGCCCTATGATGTTGAAACTTTTGAGAGAACGTATGTGCTGGTGTCCGTTGGCTTGCACAAGTTTAGTTAAATGAAAAACGGTTTGAAGAGGATGAACGCAGAGGTAAACCGGATTAGGATGTAATTATCGGAGACGAGCTGGAGTCGCCTCACAAAAATTTGACAAGTACGGAGATAATCAATACTGTGTGAATGTGCAATTCTGGCCATATTTTGAAGTAGATATTTACTACAAGAAGGCTTCTACAGAGGCTTGAAACTTTTTCATCTAACAGAAGATAGGGCAACATTCCTAAATAGGATTCGATTTTTCCGCAGACTAAAGAAAGGCTACGCGTGCACATCAATTCGGACTCCCACAAGGGACATCTAGACTGTCACAAACAGGGTTGCATTCTGACGCTATTCAAGCGAATTGAAACACAGTGTAAGGCGAACGAACAGAGGCAGTAAACTAATAAAAATGGACGGCACACCATCCTATCGAACAACAAAGAGGTAGACCACGGCGCCATACAGATCACGACCGGACGAACCGTTAGACAGAATGATGAACGAAATGTTCGACAGCGGTGTGGCAACAGAAAGCAAGAAATGCAAGCCACAACACAACAGAGATTATTATCGACCCGATAGGAATCTAAGTGTGATGACCATCATTGGTGAATCAGGTTGCATCTCAAAGATGCTATTTGTAAATTACGTAAACGCAAGCATGAAGAAGGGAGCTACCGATTCAAAACGGTGCTGTAGATGTCTCGTCGAATGGCGAGGAAACGTCTGCAAATTAGTTCCAACGCTCAGCGAATAGATCAATATCCATTAGATACATTGCCAATAGATGATCATTGCTGCTTATTCCGGACACACATCAACTAGCCTCTACACTCCAAGGATGCTTGCTCCCGAAGAATTTCACATAACAATTCAAAATGCTTTTTGCAAGTTTCTGAAGCCAATTGGAACTACTGTTGCTTGAGCATGTGTCACTTAGTTTTATCGGCGGTTCAAGCAGGATGAAGTAGGCATTTGACAATAGATGTTATTCACTTTAAAACCGCAATTCGTCTATCCCAGATATTCCCATTTGCATGTCAAGTTGGTGTGAACGAGAGACTCAGCTGAAACCAGATAAATCTGTCGTTCATGGTTGTCTTTAACTGAGGATGCTGCATAGGACCGCCTCATTGTACCTTTATTTTACTTCCTTTAAGGTCATAGAAGCCTATGGTTCCACCGAGAGTGGTGGTTTGATCACAATGACGTTACCTACGGACGTAACAGGTGGTCACGCTGGCTCTATTGCCCTAGATATGAAGATTAAATTGATTGATGTTCCCTCGATGGGTTTAACTGTCAAACGTGATGGAATTGGAGAGGTGAGCTAATTGCCAAATATCCCACTGCATTTTACGGCCAGTTCCGTAGCATTTCCTGTTCTATTTCTTATTCAATTTGACCGAGTTCATTTTCCAATTGTGATTTCTGTTTGCCTACACTATGTTGTGGTGGATCGTCACGTTGGCATTTTGCTGTAATATATGTCATATGCTGTGTAAGTTGATGCTTCTGTAAGGTGGCTAAACGTAAGATAGCGTAGGATGAAACAAATTAGCTCCCTTCCTTCACCAACCGACACAAATTAATAATGACTACTTTTTCACTTTTTAATCCAGTGCATTTTAGACACAGCCCCAGCAGTAGTGTTTATCCGGTTGATCTGCCTACGAAGATGCTTTGCAGATCTACTTGCTCCGGAAGAAAATCGTTGGTACATGAAACAATATTGTCCCACTGGTTAAGTCTCGTAAATACCCGACGTGCCCTCCTCTATCGCGTCCTGCGTGGATGCACTTAGCCAGTGGCTAGAATAAAGATGTAGCGCGAGTCCCCTACAGAATCTATTTCCCCGTTGTTTGATAGCTTTCACGACGTTTGTATTCAACTATGGTGTTGAATGCGAGCTAAATACTGGCGTCCTCATCACTGTGCTATAGAGCAGTTTTCAAAAGTACTTCCTAGTGATAATTTCAGGGTTTTAGAGAGTTCCTTCTCGGGAGATGTAGAGCTGGAATCTTGCGTGAGCCAATGAAATTTATTTTACATTGTATACGCTTGCAAACGGAGTCTTCCTGGATGGGAATCCCGAGACGGGCCACATCAATGGCTAGAGACATTGTCAGACAGGGCCCAGTCGCGCTCTCAATGGCGATCGTGCATCCAAGCTATTGCCTTCAATGCATAGCTCCTTTTCCAAACCCCCCACTTGACAGCCCACTGACAGTGCTGGATTTATGCACCAATTTACCAGCTCGCGCGTGCAATGCGGAGTTACCTACCCCCCCCCAAATCATCGGTGAACGAAACTGTGGCAGCTACAACCACTGTACGACGAGTACGCGGTTCTTACAGCTGACAATGGTGATGATGATGATGATGGCAAACGGAGTCAATAGTTCGGCCTTACTCAGAGATTAAATGGAAATCTTTAGAAGATCCTCGTAAAGTCCCTTCGTTCTTGATACACTTGTGGTTTTCCATCGTAGTGCAGTCACACTTCTACACAGGACGCACCGAGCTTCCTTCCGAGAAGTGTAATTGTATATTAATGACTTGCTCCAAATGTGTATTATTGCATTTGTGTGGGCCCTTCTCCTCAAACATCATCTAGGTTACTGGGCTGGTTTAAGAAAAAAATTTAATCTAGGGTGAGGCTGGTAGGTTGTTCTATATGTGAAAGTGCTAAAGTGTTTGTCCGCTGACTGAAATTGGGTGAGTTTTATTCTAACTAATACAGCAATGAGTTATATATTTCTTTGACAGAGATTCAACTGAGTTACCCAAATCAATTTGCTAGTGGGTGTAGTCCTGTATTTGCACAAAATATGGCCTCTAAGTATAACGTAAGGTGCACGGAAGCTCGGGCATCTGCCTGAAGGACCTGAATAGGAACAAAGTTGGTCGACGGCTTTCGGAAAATATTTACCTTCCTTATCAGTTGCATGTTATGCCAGGGAAACAAAGTAGTTCACTCAGCGAATTTCAAGAAGATGACAAATGTTTGCAACTGGCTTAATGAGCCTGATCGAGTGGAACCACTTTTCTTGTGGCAGTGCACATCTTCAAATAGGAATGCAAATGGTGAAATGTTACGCAACCCGTACACGTATACCACTACACCAATATCTATAGAGTGCTGTCTTTCAAGACAGAGCTGCTGTAAAAGAAGAGTAAAATTTTCCGGTCCCGAAATACTCTGAATTAGAGTGTTCCCCATGTGAGATGCATCCAAGGAGAGAACTATTAGTTCGTCCGAAGTAGGACAGTGCACACGGCGAACCGAGCGACAGAATCGGTATTGGGTACTGTGAAAGGCAGATAATAATTTTTGACGGGTTGTGACATTTATCTTCTTTGTTTAGTGCAAGCCAAGTGCTACCGCTGAAGCGAGTCAGAGCATCATTGTAGGTCTACCCGGGGGATTTCGTACCATACGCTGCTGTCTACTGACAACCACCAATCTTATGAACTGTTCTGCTTCGTAAGAAACTGACGCCGGTATTTTCGAATTAAGGAGCACTACAATGTCATGCATGCGGAGGGTTCGTCAATTAGTTCCACCGCTGTGTATTGAGACGACGAACCGACCCAAACAGGCCACGACAAAGATTCCAAGGTCTCAAAGAAGGGAAAGCAATTTCCACTCACAGTGGAAGGGTTCGTTAAACTGGACAAGTCGTTTACCGGCCTGCAACTTTAACATCATCAAAACACAGGATCCTTCCACTGCAAAACACTCAATGCGACCAGTATTTCGGGCACGCGCCATAAAACGCGGCTCCAGAAAGCAACAACCTGAAGAGAAGACCTTCAGCAAAAAATGCTGTCCTTCTTTCTGACCCGTGGACAATAATCATTTATGCAGACTTCAATGATAAGTTCGTGAGGAAATTCGTCAGGTAAAATGCAAAACGTGGATATGTTCATCCGGCTGAATTTTATTGAGTACGTTGGTCAAAGCCGATGAAATATTATATTTAATTTAGAGGTTTATTCTATCGAGGGCGAGAAGACTGTTATCTTGATTAAAACCCTTATAGATTGCAACCAATGTAACATTTACAGACGGAATCAGCATATACAAATCTTAGTGAACCATATTTTACACAGAATGGATATATTACTACTGCTTTTCAGATAAAAGTTTTTAGGTTTGGCCGAATGAGCGACCCCACTTTTCCGAACTTTACAAGACAATATAACTCGCGTACACACAAGTCAATAAAGTTTCCGATCTGAGGCTACCCGTGCAAATAACTAGCGGTCATTACGAGAGAACTGCATCTCAACTTTTGGTTGACCTCCTATAATTCATCCTCTATCCTATGTAGAACAGTTGTCTACTTTAAATCTGATCGGACCATAGGTCTCACACCAGTCATGACACATCAAAAGTGGCCACCAAAATGTTTGTTCTATTTAAAATATATATGAAGTTTCCCTAATGCGACGAAATTCTTCTACAAAGGCAGAATCCCAAGTGCGTCTTGCGACCATGTTTTCCGCAGATTTGGACGTAAGCGAATGCTTTCGTGACGTGAATGATTTACGGTTTGATTTCAAAGGAATCGATCAATTATTACCACCTATGAGACCACGCAAGATTTATGCATCTGGAGATTAAGTCTTGTCTTATTTTCAACCGTAGAAAGCGGATGGCGATCACCACCAGAAGTAATATTCAAACACGCGATAGCTGACGCTTGGAGTATTTGGCAACTTTCACCTTTCTATTCAGCGGATGTTCCTCCCGTGACAAAAGTGAATCGGTGCAAGTCAACCCTACTAGTTGCATCTAGTTGCCATCGATAAAAAACAGTTCGCTTCATTTTTTCTTCTGCTGTCGGTGGAAGCTCGTTTGACTGGAGGCAAGAGATTAAAACTACATCTATTTTTAGCGTTGACCTCAACAGCTCCTGACTTCTACAAAGAATTTCTGTGCCGTTCCATTTGCATTGTAGGCAGTTGAGTGCATATTTAAAAATGTCCGTACTTTAGTCTCTCGGTGTATACGCACAGTTTTCTATGAACTGTCCATGGCTTGGTAACAACAAGGCCTTAGGTAGAAATTGGTATTTAATGAGACGAAAATTTCTGGTGACTCAACAAGAGTTACTTGTTTGCTTTAAGTATGCCAAGAATTACATCCGAATACGAATACAACAGATGTACCAACTGGTGGACGGACGCGTGGTCCAGAGTTAACTGCCCGAAACAAGTATTGGGTCACGTATCTGATCCCCTTGCACCAAACCGACAAGTCGGGTTTGGGCCAACCAATACTTATAGACTACATTAATGGTTGTCTTATTTTTCTAGATATACAGTACATATTAGAAAATGTTGAAGAACTGGACTATCCATGATGGTGCTCTTCCAATAAGAGTGCGAATTCGGCAGTTTCGAGGTTATGTGCTCTTTGGTACTTTGGTAGTAGTTCTTGTGCTTGCTGGGTGAAAAAATCGTAAGAGCACAAAAACCCTTCGTTGTGAAACAATACAATTTTAAATCGTGACCTTAGTAGAGGCCAGTTTCTCTGTGCAGATGGGACCAAACATTTCGGCACGTGTTTTCTCCATGGCCGGATATAAACGTTTGTGCCAGTGTAACAACGCTACATTCGAAACCCGTGTTTTGCTCGTGACGACACATCATGCACACATTAATCCACCTCGGCGGTAATACTACCTATATGCACTACTCATATGGTTTTAGACGGCTCTGGTCTTCCTGCCACTAAAGTTGACTTTCACTAATGAGGTGACGTGTCTATCGGCAGGTTATATACTACTCATATGGTTTTAGACGGCTCTGGTCTTCCTGCCACTAAAGTTGACTTTCACTAATGAGGTGACGTGTCTATCGGCAGGTGTCGCAAAGGTTTCGTGCCACGCGAAAATGTCATACTGGGCAGCGAAAGAAAAACCTGGCCGCCGCAGTACCCAGACCAAGCAGGATATCTATGGGCACCCATCCAGACAGTAAGGAACTTAACCCGCTAGTCGCGACGAGCAACGATATAATAACCGAAAAATTCGTTAGCTAAACAGGCGTGATCCTGATTGGTTTACCAGCAACGTAATTAGGTTTAGCTGCTCAGGTTTTTCGCGTGCATCTGCTAATGGTATCGGGTGATTTGGTACGTCGTGGCTGTTCTGCTGCGAAGGAGACTTTCCATGGCCATCCTCGTATGGAGCGGAGCAAGCATAACCATGTGTGACGGTGATTTCTGTTCACTTCGTTGCTCATTTGGGGTTCCCTAGTCCGGCCCGAGCAGACGCCTTTGGGTTGAATGGTATACTTATTCCCACTTAAGTCTGCGAATGATGGACCCACACAGATAGAGGGATTGGCCTTATGTGGTCACCGCTGTGTAGACTTCTATGGATATACACATTACTGATAAAGCAATTAAGCGACCGGGTATTTTTTGTATAACAGTACCGTTTCACTGTCCTTCGACATTTTAGATCTGTGTCATATCACCAGCGAATACACCTGGTTACTATAAAGAAAGCGAGAAAACCAAGGAACTGTTCGATGAGGATGGGTTCATTCGGATGGGCGACATTGGACGTTGGACTGCGGTGAGTGCGTAAAATTTCGGTGAATCTTTAACTGGATTCACTGGATGGATCGGAAAATATGACAGACAATTTCGACAAATGCTCCTATTTGCAGGCGTGGCATCTTCCGTTGAAGCAGACCATCATAAGCGGGGAATTTGACTGGATTCAGTTGAGTGTCATTGCAAAACGAGCGCATCTGTCAAAATCTTTCCAGTTTGGGTCCAAGTAGAACATAAGGTTGAGAGAAACTCGGGGACCGCGCCCACCTGATGAAGGGTGGGCAAGACTGGTCTTGGACTATCGAGGGTTTTTCAGCAACCTTATGGTCAGTGTGTTTAATTTCGGAAATGACAAATATTACTTTTGAAATGACTGAGCCGCCTAGTTTTTGTGAGGTACGTTTCCATATCCTTGATAGTTGTTCAGTACACAGTAAATAATACGGAACGCGAGACAGTGAATCATAACTTTACCTCTCCACTACACCGATGAATAAGTGGTTAAGAGTGAAGCCTGGTGGAAACGAATAAGGAACCACAAAGATTATTTTTTCATCTCCCTCGTTTCGGTGTACACTACACCGTTGTGGATTGAGAGAAGGCAGTACAGTTGACTTTGTTACAAAGGACGTTCCCACTGATGGATCCGTTTATTTCATACAGGGTTGATCTCAAAGGCGGTTGAGGATCTGACATTAGGATGCAGAGTAATACATATCCGGGTACTTCCTAGAAGCTTTTCCCAGTTACACCGTATCTCCAGCACAGATTTCATCTCATCTTCCATCGTTTGCCTGTATTTCATAGTATTTCATTATTTCAGTTACTACCGGTTTTGTTTTGCCACCACCGAAATTAGTAGTCACTCACTAATTCCGATTCCTCAACAGTCATCAAACTACCAGGCTTTAAAATGCAGCATCTCATATTGGGCTGAAGCTACTGCATGCCCAAATTTATGTAGTCCTTTTTATGACTGTGTATGAATGCATGGATGATCCGCATGCAGGTAAATATCCGTCTTGCAGTAAACTTCGGATCACAACTTGTCCGATATCGATAAATTAGGTCCATATTCTCAGCGTGGAATCGTACGCAGTGACAAGTACACCCTAGAACAGAGACGACTGACGCTGGTACATTTCGCAAACTTTATGCATAACGTATCAGTCAACGAACGGCAGTAAAATTATAAGTTACTTTGGTAGGGGATGTTCCATGTCAACTCATATTCGGAATTTAGTTGTCAACATCCCGCGATGAGGCAGCACAAAATTCTCGGGCTGGGAATTTTTCGGTGAGTTAAGAGATAAGATAAAAGATAGATATACGTGTATCCCTTCTGTTCCCAGTGAAAAAATTTTAGAATTCTTTTCACTGGTAATTGTTTCCGTTTCACAGTGTGGAACCTTACAAATTGTGGATCGGTGTAAAAATATATTCAAGTTGTCCCAAGGTGAATATGTTGCTCCGGAGAAGGTAGAGCAAGTCTACGCACTCAGTCCACTTGTGCTGAACGTATACGTGGATGGAAACTCACTCTACTCCCACACAGTGGCAGTAGTTGTTCCCAACTTCGAAAAACTACAGAAACAATTCCCAGAATTTTTCGATGAGCTTCTGAAGGAGAACAATGGGATTGGGAGTGATAGCAAAAAATTGTTTGCAGAAGCGTGTCGGAAAAAGAAACTGGCGAAGCTGATTTTGAACGAGCTGAACAAGCTTGGAGCTGAAAAGGGACTGAAAGGCTTCGAACAGGCAAGTCAATAAGTACAGCTTATAATTATTTGTTTTCGAATTATCTGCTGAAGTGTACGGTGGTTAGGGAGCAAACTTGCTGACGAGGATGTCTGTGATTCGAACCCAACCGTAGCATCTCGATTGTCTCTTTCTAGGCATGGGTAGTATCCTATCCCCAGTGCTTTTTTGTGTGGCCTGACGGTTAGGCACCTAAATACTGTTGCAGTCGGATTACTATTTACTGTTATTATTATCTGCAAAGTTTTGGACGTGTTGTCTTGCAGTATTTCTTACATGAGGCGAACTGCGGGCTGTGCTTATCAGTTCAAGCAATAGCGCCTGATTCTGGATGAAAGAACAGCTCGTTTTTCACAATCCCCACTGAATTGAACATCTGGTCTGAGGAATGCAGTACCGAATTATCGCTTTCATTCACCAGCGCATCATCCAAACTTCTTTGAGATGCACATCCCGTTGCTTGCTTCAATCGGTAGCACTCGAAATCCTCTTTCTTACTTGGCACTATATTGAAGCACTTTTTCAACTGGAGGATGTTCGCACTCCTACATACCATCCAAAAACACGGGGCTGATACAGTCGGAAGCGTCCATACAATACAATTCAAGAAAATTGACTGTTACGTGCTGATCACATCAAAATTGGGACGTTCGTATACACAGTTCATCACGAAACTAGTACCTTAAAGCCTGCCATAGGTATCTCAGGATGCACCATCTGTAATTAAGTGATTATTCGATGAAGAACCCGAACACTATTTCACGAGACAACATGGTTACAACAAGATTTCGAGGGGGCTTTGAATAAACATCTGTAGGCTTCAAGCTACTTGCTAGTGTTTAAAACTGTAGCAAAATTAGTAGCTTGTTCCCAAAGGTTCGGATTTGTTTCACTGGTGCAATTCGGTGTGTTCAGCGTTGTCACTCCGACCACTGGAGTTGCAGTCTTTCTCATTCTATTTCGTCTATCCGTGTTGCTGCAGTTGTGTATGCGAAACCCAAAACTAGGTTTGAAATTTGTTGCCATACTAGTGAATCAAACAGATTGTGGGAGACGCGGCTTTTTGTGTCGTTCTGAGGGTAACTAGTGGCATGCAAACGTTCCTTCTGTGTCATAGACGCATACGGATTTTTACTCAACTCTGAACAAGACCCTTCACATGTCCATATCATCCCGGTCTCACACAATCCAGCCGTTCATCAAGTCACGTAAGGGCTGTCTATTTGGAACAGACCTATCTGTCCACTTTTGTCGGCATCCAGGGTCGCCTTCACCCGGCCTCTGAAGAGAGTTTTCAGTGCCGCCAACTTACCCCGGTTGTCTCCATTCCAACCGCCTCCTTCAAAATCCTTCAGGAAGGTCGACACATTCCCATCCTCGAAAGGTTGTGGTCACAGGATTGTCCTTCGCATCCTGACTACGGCGCCAAATACAAGGAGGAAAGCCCTCCGCTGTTAAGTCTCTGTTGTGGACCAAAGTCCCCTAATGCCCTCTTTAGTCGTGAATCCCGATCTGGATAGCCGCTTGATCACCATTTTCTGATTTGATGATGTCACCTCCTCCTTTGGAGGCTTCAGAAGATCAAACGTGCTTCGAGGATTGCGGTAGAGTAATGTCTTCGCAGGTGATTCGCCCTCCGGTGTGGACGGATTTGGAGTCAGGCGATACATTAAGAGGAATTGTTGTAGGATGTTTGCCGTATTTCCTTCCCATTCCGCGTTAAACAAAGCTCTTTTGAAAGTATCCCCGAGTCGTTCTGCCGGTGATATGGGGGCGTTCTAACGATTTCAATCCCACAGGCAAGACATAAGTCCGCAAATTGGGATGACGTAAACTGTGTCCCGTTGTCAGATACGAGCTTTTCAAGATAGCCAAAACGACTGAAGACTTCCTGCAACTTGTTATTGGTTGCTGTGGTCGTCGTTGTCTTCGTGGGAAGAAAGCCTGGCCACTTGCTGTAAGCGTCCACGGTAATGAGAAAACTTTGGCCGTTCACAGGACCTGCTTAGTCTATATATATCCTTGACCACGCATTTTGTGTTACCGGCCAAGAACTGAGTTCACATTTCCTCGGGTACTTTGAATCCAACGCACACTGGTGACAAAATTTGACGAGCTCTTTGACTTGGCTGTCAATATGAAGCCAGTAAACATAGAATCGGATCAGTTATTTCATCCGGTTGATCCCGGGCTGTTCTTTATGAAACTGTTGCACAACAAGCCTTTGCAGCTCCTCTGGTACGACAATGCGTTCTGTGAACAATAAGGAATCATCAGCAACAGAAAGTGACGATCGTCTTTGATAAAACTGAAGCAAGTCTTTGTTTTTAATATTTTATGGCCACTTGAAGAGGTGGTACTTTTTTACTTGACTCAGCAGCGGATACTGTACGATTGCCTTGCGTAGCATTGTGAATGTGATTGGAGTACCTCTGATGGCTTCCATTAGTGTACATCGCATTTCCGGTTCAGCTGAGATCTGAGCTATAACTGAATCTTTTGAGCTCTGTGGTCTATTTTCTAAAAGTTTTGATAATACATCCGCCTGACCGACCTTGCCAGTAAATTTAAACTTAATGCTAAAGTTGTAACTGCAAACTCAAACTGTTGCAAACTGCCCGCAAGAGCAGCTGGCCCTCACGTTCGTTGACTTTTTCTGGTTTGGCCAAGCGCACCAGGCAATTAAGCGGTTATCCAGACCGGAGTTCACTGCAATGAGAAGGCATTGAGGGACTGTGGTCCATAACAGTCCTTTATTAGCAAGCACCAACTAAGTAGTTACTAAATATTGGACAGAAAAGTGAACGTCTCATTTTGCACATGATTAAAAACACTGAACGTTCTCACGCGTCCTCTTGGATTTTCGTGATATTAACTGATTTCACGCAATTGTAAAAGAACACCGCAAAGCAGTCCCAAAAGTTCCGTAACAAACCTCACCTTGCATTGGACACGGAGCGGAGCTTCGAGAAAATTCATACTACTCGCATGTCTCATCAGTAGTAACCACCGTGAAAACGTTGTGGACGCGTGCATCATAGAATAAGTGCCCTTACCTAGACACTCCACAGAACCAGTTCGCTTGCAGTTTGCTTGAACTGCCATTAACTTAGAAGCCGGTTTTCATTAACTGTGAAAAAACAGACACTACAACAGAAAATGGATTGAACGAACTAGCGAATGGTTGGTATTTGAGTAACTAACATGACCAAACTCCCTTGAAATCCATACAAGTGACTAATGTGGTTTAAACTTTAAAGAGTCAAGCGTTACCTTATGCAATTTTATGCTTTGACTGTTGTGGCTTCCCAGAGGCGACTGGTAAACCAAAACGTGGAGTTGATTTATTGCATCACGTACTGATCGACCCATTCACACCTGCTTCGTTTCCATTATACTGAGCCAGAAATAGATACCTGGAGTATTCAGCTACGTTCTATTTTGGACTTTCAAAAGATATCCCGCTTCTTATAACACTGCTGATGGGTTACCCAGTTGATTGTCTTTGGTTACCTGGTAACAACCAGGCTTGATAATTTTAAGAGTAAGTAGCTTTGTATTGGAGTGCAGTTCTCATAAATCGCCACCAAACTGAAGCCAACTACACATAATTAGGATGTATTTAAGCAGGTAGTGGTCGCCAGTTTTCTGTCACCCAGATAGGTAATGCCATTTTGGAAAACGAACCTTATGCATTTCGTCACTCCAGGGCTCTGGTTTGGACCGGCATTTAAACACGTTATACGACAAAAATGGGATTGATGAAAACTTTCAGTTGTGACCTGTAATTGTGATATCGTATGCACTCCGGCTGTATTTTTACAGTCCTCTAACTTCAATAGAAACCCTTTAGTCACTACTCACCTAAGTAGACTATTTTTGTCATTTAGTCATTTGCGTGCGGTTTTAATGATTTCCAGCCGTTTAGTCGGTCAGTAGGAATATTTCTCCTCTCGTTTTCACTTTTCGTCTAGGTTCGTGATCTGCATTTATCTTCTGAACCTTTTTCAATTGAAAATGGCCTCCTCACTCCGACACTGAAGATTGCAAGGCCTCAGATGCGGAAATATTTCGCCGCCCAGATCCAGGCACTGTATGAGGCAGAAAATAGTTAGACTATGCGCCATCGGTGTTATTCAGCGCACCCTGTGGGTATTTTTCTACCTCGACACATGTACCTTCTCTTACATATGTAATTAACTAATGACGCTGGGGTTGAATTCAGACATGTTACTGATTTTCTTGTTTGCTCAATTTTAGATTCTAATAAATTTACGATGGACGTTCTAATGTACCGGCGTTACCGAAGGTCACTTACTAAAATACGTCGTTCACGAGTAGTCACTTTTTAGAGCAGTGTTGTCATGCAGTGGTACGGTATCGTTTTTTAGGCTTTTCTCAGATATCTGAACTTGACTAATCCGAAACTCTGTTAATTTGGGGATGATTTAGATTATAGTTCATATCAGGCACATCCCATGCGATAACTCAAAGCTAGTCACTTCCAAATCCGCCAACTGACGTGTTCAGTAGGGGTAAGGGTATATGGACTCTACCGGACATTCTCAGGCTACTTTTCACAGACCCGTAGATCATCTGAAGTAATTACTTACACAATAGACATTTGATGTCCCATTTCTATTCGGGGGTTCCGTGTACACAAGTGAACGCACTTTGGTTGACATTTTTAAATAAGGTTGATAACACTGTTCTGAGGCAGATGACTCATCATTGATGGTGGTGAGTGGAGACCCGGTAACTTTCGTTCGGTGTGTGCTCAGAGGCCGAGACGCACTGTGTACAGCCGTTTTATCTCTGTTAGGAATCATCGGCATCTCATAAAGTCAGAGAGAATGGCCTTCCGGCCACTGTTTGCACATGGCCGTTGGGGGACGAGCGGCTGATCAGAAGTGATTAGCTGTCACTTATACAGGATACAGCGCCACTCATCAATACGTCACGGAAACCACATCACTTGATCGCGAACTGACTAATGGTTGTGTGGAGAGATTTGGGGATTTTGATGAAAATGATATTTTTGTCATCTGTCACTCTCCCGACCTAACCAAAAAGATCCATAAAAGTTTCGACCGGAATATTTTACACAAAACTTCAGTGCACTGGGTAAGTATGGCAAAACTGTTCGTTTTTTTGACGTTGCATTAACAAGGAAACCAAGTGGGATGCTGGCGAATGGGATATACCCTAAAGGGACCTGATCAGTCCAATACATGAGCTTATATAATTTGGTTGACATGGGGCATAGGGGAAGTCTTGTTATCTTCGTGGTCCAGGTTAGTCACAAGTTTTCTGGAAACTCTCCGACAGTCCAAGATCGATTTCGCTATTCTTGGGAGCCATGGGATCGGTGCAGTCCCCATCAAACTTATGTTGAACTTGAGCTCCACTTACTGAGTGTCTGTTTAACGGGGCTCATGAGACTTGTATTTACGGCACCAAATCATGAAATAATACCGTTTCATGAATAGTCGTAGTTGTTTAACGAACTTCGTGACCATCCATGTCGAAGCCCCTTACCCAACTTTTGGAAGAATGTTTGAAACATAACTCACTATTCGAAGCAAATAACTGGCAACGTCGCTTGGGCCTCCACACCACTTTTTATTCATTCAAAGTATATGCATTCCGACTGATGTAATGACTAGCAGTACTTATGCTGTCATACGGGTCTCCTAAGTTGGATATGTGGCAGATGGACCCAGCATACATGTTTATCGCATTACTGATTCATTCATTGTATTAGCTATTTCATGATGGGGAGAATCCTGGCCAGTCAGCCTTCAGATCACTCCTGCACTGGCCTTTGCACTGTGCTCCCAGGGTTCATCTGAGGGCTACGAAATGAAGGCGAAACCACTTCGCAAATCGGCACTATTGGGAAAGATTCAGTGCAGCTTCTTAAAAACTTCAGAGGCTATTTACAAGTCGAGGAAAGTTACAAAAATGTGACTGTAGCATCTTGCCTACGATAACAATTTAGAGGCTTGTATGTTGATCTGGAGTAAATGCCGGGTTGACGACGTACTACTTACAATACTGAAGTAACTAAATAGGCCCACTAAATGTCCATTTATCGCCTTGCTTTGGGAAACCATTGCACACCACGGAGGAGTGCCTGGTTGTTTTTTCATGGGGTGACAACGTTGTAGAAACATTGTGACAGAGTACTTCATTATTAAAAAGACAGCCATTGGTAAACGAGTACCTGTAGTCATAATACGCATAATAAGAGGAAAAAGTTAACTTTTCCACTAAAAAATGAAGCTAGTTCGATGTGGACTTAATTTCATAAAGAGACGAGCGGTGCTTGACCACACTAAGTAACACAAATAGTTACTGGTAAAATTAAACTGGGAGGCTGTTGGTCATTCGGTAACATCCACTGAGTGAAATTATGATGTGTTGAAATAGCAGCTAACTAGAATTTTTTTTTTGTAGCGATTCGTAGATTTCAGAGAAGAGGTGGAATGTATATGTTTGGCGTAGAACACTTCGGAAATGATTGCCGAAATCTGTTCGACAAAGCACCGCTGGTTTCATCACTGAGACTTAGTCCCCGGAGTTTTATCAACCTGATATTAAAGCTTAGCGCCAAGTTCTGCGCAAGTGGTGAAATGCACCCGTTCGCAAAGTCGACAGGTGTTTTCGAGAGGTTTAACTGAGAACCTCGTCCAAGCTACTCCTTAACTTATAGTGTGGAAATGTAAGAAATAATGAGTATTCATTGTGCGTCATACGTAAATGAGAAAGCGAAAGTCAACTAATGACCGAGGGGGTGGAGGAAACTATTCGGGTCGAAATGGCTTCGTGGTACGGAATAAATCGTGCGAGTATTTGTTGCAAAATTTCAGCTCTGAAGGACCAGAACCACACAGTCTCTATACGCACATACTGTTGCGTATGTACGCACACATGTTTTGCTCAAAAGGATGTTTAGGAAAGCAGTTGATCATATCTGAATTTAGCGGGTAAGAATTCTTATCAATTATTGTCTTAAAAAGACTTGTACAGTTAGGATTCCTATCGCAAAACATGTTACGCAAGTTGAATGTACCGCTTGATGGCAAGATAGTGTTTTCACCCGCTGGACAATACAAAAAAACCACCAATGTAGTGACAGTTGTGAGCTTTCTGGGAACCAAGTTGTTTGCATTTAGGCAATGAAGACATCAATGAAATAATTCAGGGTTCTAATCTCAAGAAAGACTATTTTAATCTGTTAATGCCAGACCAAGTCGAAGGTCACAACACCAAATTTTTCGTGCAATCAATTTCTGGCAGTAGACAGTCGTTGACAGTATTTTAGCTGAAGTAGAGCCAAGAAATACATTGCTACTCAGGGCGAACATATTCTGGTTCATCTGGACAGATATAGCTGTAACGAGACGTGCGGCGTACGCCTGTCTAAGTTAGTAAGTGTCCCGTTGTGTAGACCATGCTCCGCCGACAACAACGCCATTCGCATATTTTATCGAGAAGTTCTGCTTATTGAGTTGCAAAATATGTAAACGACGTGGTGGGAATACTTCGTCGCAGTCATCTGAGGTTCACGACCGTAAGTCTGGTCAAGGTTGCAACATCTGCACAACAAGACGAATGTGTTTTACCAAAAGGGTTCCTTCATCTCTTCGATGGAGTACACTCCACTTATAAGGTTTTAGAAGATAAACCTTCTCGGTTGTGAGACAGAAGAATGACGTAATTATTTCGCACAATTAGGAGAAACTGAAAGTTTCCGGGGCCACACTAAAGAGTTGCTCGTCGTGGTTTTTTAAATCGTGTTAGCTTCTGAGGTGCAATAGTTGAAGCCAAAAGTTACACCCACCCTGAAGGAACCTACTATCGGGTATCCCACGCTCATTTGCATACCATTTAGGTTTTCATGGAAGAGCCATCTAACAGTCATTGTCATCATCTGTACACCGACAAGAAAAAAGCAGCAGTTTGTTCACGGAAGCAGAGTGCTAGAATGAACTGTAGAACTAAAGAACTCTTGCGTAACCCAGTAGTATTGAAGACTTTGTTTACCGAGACAAGTGACTTGAGTGTGATTAGCAGATATGCTGTTATCCATCTGACCGGTAGCAGACGCCCTCCTGGAGCAGCAGTCTTTAATCGGTATCATTTGAGAAGCATTTAAGTGAACCAGAGATACCAAGTAAACAATTTTATTTAAATTAAAAACTGGAGAAAACGGAGGCACAAGGAATGCAGTGTCGTATAGTGTAGGTAAAACTGTTGGTAAACAAGCTGTTGTCTTGAGTCATTCGGCTAATATTCACTCTTGATAACATTCTGTAAAGCAATCCGTGGCCGCCATATATTTTGGGCCCGCTCTATGACTTCAGCTATCCTTTAATTTGAGCTGGCGGACATCACAACTGTCACAACTGTCACAGCCTGCTAAGAATGTTCGCATATGATTCAAATAACAGAGATTGCAACTTTCCAAGTCCCACATTTGTTATTTGGGCGTCAATGAAACCCACTCTCACAGAAACGGCCAGAAGTGTTGGCTGTAAGCTCTCCTCAGTGTTTATTCTCTACGGCGGGGCTGTCGCTAGTGTGTTTGCAAACTAAACATGGGTAACTGACTAAACTTAGGTGACCTAGACCAGACTTCCCAACTAGTACGCCAAATTTCTCCTAGACTTCCGTACCCACACCAAAAAGTTAGAAAAAATAGTAAAAGATATTAAGTTTTAGCTGGTATAAGAAGAAAACCTAGTTGTGTCTCTTATTCATACAATGATCAGTGGCAGCTAAGTTTTACACAAAAATTCGTGTCAGTGGAATATAGCGCAGTGCTTGCAGTTCGCTTACTCTGTTCTTAATTCCAATGCTACAAGGTATATTTTCTTGAATTCAACTGGTTTTCGGAATTCCTATATCACTGAAGAAAACACGGTTAAAAGCAAGTGATGCACGGTATGATCTGCATAGTACTGAATTATTAAGGTAGATGTGTAGTCTGATATTTAAGAAACGTAATTCCTTAAACTATTCGCTTCTGCGGTAAGTGCGTACCCATACTGCCTGCGACCGGTTTTATGTTCGAATGACGCAAATGTTCTC